AGAAGTCCACACATCTTAAAAAGTTGCCACGTTTGAAAAATACTGGTATAGCTGATACTGAGTTAGATGGTCCAAGAACTTGACTCAGCCTATATCAGCCTCCTGGACTGCATGCATTTTGCAGATAAGTCACGGAAATATTTTGCTGTAATTTAAAAAAAAAAAAAAAAAAAAAGAAGCAACGGGTCCCACAATCAGATTTACAGACAAGAACAAGATCAAAGTGTGCAAGAAAAAAAGGACTAGCAAATGGAGCTTTGGGTGGGTGGGGATCAGGGACTAGTTCTCTGCATCCAGAACAAAGAGGTGAGACATAACCAAGCCATTTAAATGCAGTTCTGGCTGGTCTGATCTTCCCCAGCTGGAGTTCCTGCTTGGACAACTGCAGTACTGTTGTTTTTACTGATAGACAGAGCCAAAGGCAGCTTGGAGGCTGGTGAACTTTCTGGCAGGAAAGCTGAGCCTAGCTCAACCATTTCATCCTTGGCCAAATTGCTTTCTGCTTGCACTCCCTGGTCAACAGCAGTAGTGGGAACATTCTTCTGTTCTATTCTGCAATCACAGGGCAGGGCTAGATTATCACTCATTTCCTAGCCGGGCAGACAAAGCTTGCAGGAAAGCAAATAGGCTTTGCATTTGTAAAGCTGTTGGAAAACGCCCCAACTCCCTTGATTAATTTTAGATTTATATGTTTGGCTAATATAGGACTCACAACTCAAGAAAATCCAAGCCCATTCAGTTATTTGGAAAAAGAAACATGCTACAGTCCTCTCAAAACTGTAATCGCCCTTTAAAAAATACAGGTAAGGGAATGTATATTTCAAAGCTCATACATCCCATGCCGAAAACAAGATTACGAAAAGAAAAAAGCTAGACATTATGATTGATTTCTATATGCAAGTGAACCATGGATTTAGGCTCTCTTTCTCAGCCCAAATAATCCAGGACTTTTGAATGAGAAGCATTCACATTTCAAATACTCAGTGAGGCAGTGCAGACCCCAGAGGGCTACACCACATGCTTTTTCTAAATAGCCACTGAATTAGTTCTCACAGCAACAACATTTGTTACACAGAAAGCCATTCTGTGCAGGAAACCTGGATGTTGATCACTATGGAGAGCAACTATTTATCCCAGCCTGATGGCCACATCTACCAATTGCAGTGCAGTCTAACGTGGTTTATTTGGGCTTAATGTGTTTCCAAACCCACCTACTACAGTTTGAGACCCACAGTAGGTTTAATCCAGTTAACATGTAATGCAAACTCAGCTAATTGTGAATAAGCAGACAATGTTTCCCAACAAGTGACGTGAAGCCACTTGAGTACATCAAGCTCGCACACACATGGTGTGCGTGTGATTTCCTGTCCAGACTGAAAGGAAGCCTTCTCTATACCATCACCCATTTCCTATAACCAGAAAGAGTGGGCAGCATTTTCACTTTTACGTTCTTTTCTCCTTATGATGCTATCACTCTTTCTCCCCCAATACAGACAAATGTCGCCTCGCCTCTCTGGCTCGCTATTCTTCCAGGGGATCTCCCAGATCAAAAGAAGATCAGAAATTGGGCTGAAATTCTGAGGAGGGTACTTCCTATAATTTGTATAAGGAATCGATGCCGTACCCCCATGTGTGAAAGAGGGACGACCTTGCACAATCCTGTTGAATTCCACCCTGAATCTGAATCCCAGCAAAGGGTTCCCCCCTCCATCTTTAAGGTGCTGCAAATATAGCTCACCCCTGAATTTGTTCAAGGACACTCTTCTTTGTGTGGGCCTGCCTGGTCCTATCTCTTCCCCGTCTGACATCCAGAGCTGAACAAAGAGAGAATTCTAATCCAGGAACAGGTCAAGAGTGAAGAATGGAATTGGATCTGCTGATAGATGCCCCATTCAACTTCTCTCAGCCTAACTGAGCTACCTCAATTTTGCTTCTACAGACACCCAGTGATCAATTATCCTGGTCAGAAAACCTCAGTAAACACACAGAAACCTCTCTGCTCCTAAAAATTTAAGCTCTATCCTCTTTAAACTCCATTTTCCCTGTCTTCCTCAAGCAGCCCCTTCTAAATTTTTCTAGTATCATCTCTCCCACTCCCAGCTCCCATTCCTCTTTTCTGTGGAAGAGTACACCCACACCCACCCAGAGAGAGAGGGAGAGGGAGGGAGAGAGAGAGAGAGAGAGAGTCACTTCCTATCATCTACTTGCTGCATCAAGCTGTCCAGAACTGCAAATTAATAGCCATTAACTGACTCATAAACCAAGGCTCCAGCGCAGCTTACCGTCCTGTGGGAAGGGTGACAGAAGTAGATCCCAACTGAGTTTCCTCTCTTCACTAGGCAGCGATGACCTCTTTATGCTCCCAAGAAACAAGAAACGCAAATGGTTTCTACTGTTTCTAACATTTTTTTTAAAAAAACTCTATATTTGTATCTCTCCTCTTACTGGAGATGGTTTTTGCACAGCATGTGATGCATAGCCTCAAATGGGTGGGGTACTTTGTGGTTCATCAGGAATCTATTGCTTTAGCATGTTGGATCAGCCCAGCTATTGCATCAAGCCATAACATGGCTTGTTTAGGCACAGCACGTTTATTTTTATTTATCTGATTTTTTTTATACTGCCTTTATTACTTTATAAGTAACTCAAAGCGGCGAACATACACAATACTCTTTTCTCATCCTATTTTCCACACAACAAGCCTGTGAGGTGGGCTGGGCTGGGCTGAGAAAGACTGGCCCACAGTCCTAGCTGGCTTTCATGCCTAAGGAGGGGCTAGAACTCACCATCTCCTGGGGATTGGCCCAAGGTTATCCAGCTGACTTTCATGCCTAGGGCGGGATTAGAACTCACCATCTCCCGGTTTCTAGGCCAGCATCTAAACCTCTAGGCCAAACAGGCTAATGTGAACACAGCCAATGACTTTTCTTAACCTAGATTTAAGGGTTAGCAACTTAGCACTTTGTCTGAACTTCTCTCTCCCGCCCTAGACACACTAAAATAAAATCAAAATCCGCTGAAGAAATATAAACCATTTCCTTTCCCATTACTTTCCTGAATACCTTGCTGACACGGCATGTGCAAGTCATGGGCAAGCTGTTATAAAGCAGTTTTTTTACAGAAAAGGGGGAACTTGTTCAGAGGTTAATAAGAAACCAGCCCAGCATGACAAAGCCGGGAGGATGTGGCTAAAAAAAAAAAAATGAAGTGTTTTTTGGTTTAAAAAAGAAACTGGAAAAACTCAGCCCCAAATTCACATTTTAATCATTAAAAAATACTACTGCGTTCGCTGGCATCACGGTACCTAGGGAATAAGTGTAAAAGAAAAGCCTGCCTCTCCAGACATGTGTGAACTTCACTGCACGTTGCTTAGGTTGCAGCAGTAAACATGGGGATACCAGTGTGCCACACCACACTGTACACGCTGTCAGCCCCCAACAGGAGCTGAATATCTTTAACTGTTGTGGCTTCATTTATTCCCCAGATCAAGTGGTATGGAGGAAGTCCAACAGCGAAATGGGACTGTCACCACCTTCTCCAAGGTGGTATCTCCCAAGGTGATCCCAATAGAATTCCCCGTTCTGAATGAGGTTTCATAACATGTGGTGGGTAGAGTACCAGATTCAGGATTTCTGGGTTATTGTCAGGAGGAAGCAACTGTAATTTCTTGTGAGTAGCCAAAGTCAATAACTTTGTTTTCTGCATGTTACAAGAATCTCACCAGACTGCTTGCCTTCCCTTGGGAATGATCAGATATGGCTTCATGGATCTTGGGGGAGGTCAAGCTTATGCTGCTTGCATAAAGATTCCAACCTAGGCCCTCACTTGACTCCTCCTTCCAGCTTGGCTGGCAGTTTCTCAACAGTTATAAGATGTGAAGCAGAGAAGAAGAAGCACCACAATTTTAGAACACAAGAGAAAATTGGATAAAAAGGAGGGACGAACAGCCTGTAGTCCTAAAGTTGTTTGAAACCCCATGAAGCACTGGGTGCAGGCAGCCGCAGAGTCTCCTGCCCCCTCTCTTGAGACTTTTCTTCTTAACTACAGTAATCAAACTGACTGTTGTTTGTTCCAGCTTCAAGCATTTTCCCCCTCCCTGGCCCTTTTGGATTGTGGTTTTCAGTGCATCACTCAAAGACCAAACACAGCACTCAGCCACAGAAAGATCGTCCTTGAGTTAAATTGACCTCCAGGACGGTTGAGTTTTTAAGTGCTCAGAGTCATCACAGCATAAAATAACCCACAGCGTTACAGAAAACACTGGGCTTTCCCCTTTACAGTAAGGCAAGAGAAAGGGGGATCATGTATTGTATGCAAAGATGTCAGGTCTTGTCTCAAAGGTAGTTTAATTAGCAAGCAACTTGGGAGGTTGGAGGGAGCTGTACATGGAATAAAGAAGCATTCCTTTAAGGATCTCTGCATCCCAACCCTGACTGGGGAATTCTGGGAATTGAAGTCTACCCATCTTAAAGTTGACAAGGTTGAGAAACTCTGCTCTAAGCATCACCAAAGGACTTTCCATGCATTACATCTCCAGGCTGGATTGAAACACTTGAAACACGGGGGGGGGGGGAATACCAGAACCCAAGATACTTCCTCTCCATCCCTTCCTTCCTCAACCAGCCACACCAGGCCTCCTGCAGCCAATCACTCCAGCAATCATGAGCATCTGAGAATAGCTTGGGAGAAGGTTTACCCAGCAGTTAATTAAAGCGAGCATCAAATTAAATACAGCAAAATTAAAACAGCACCGGAAATTAATTTTCAGCATTAAAAAAAGTCTACCTTGTAAAGCTAGATATTCTCTAAACGGGGGAAAGAAATGCACTGAGCTGGGCAAGATAAGACATCATGCATGGTATCAGCTTGCCAGCTGTGGCAGTTTCAGGTCCAGATGCTGATTCTGTCACCTCACCTACCTCTTTGCCCAAACCCAGGGAGTCTAGTTACTCCGCCATCCCAGAGACACAGATGGTCATCATTCCTTGCCAAACCCTCACCTATGTTGCTCTCTATCCAATTCCTTTGATCCATGTGGGTGGCTCAAAGCCCCTCATCCTTCTCTTCTCCTCCAGCCCCGCAGCCCATCAATCACCAGATGCGTGGAGTGCTCAAGAGGCTGTTTTCACTCCCGTGGCACCACATGCAGAAAGAGAAGCGGGAGCCAACAGCATTGATAAGTATTTTTTCTTAAATAAAAAATACCTCCTAGTGGAGATTTTGCAAAGCTGCATGTGGCTTTCTGGAAATAAACAAAAGGAATTTTTTTTTTGAAAAGCAAACTTATCCAGAACTTACAAGTGAAGCTAGCTTTGTATTTTTTTAAAGGGGGGGGGAGTAGAGAGGGAGAAATAGGTAAATAAATATTTGTAAATAAATAGATTTATGTAATAAACAATGATGATTTCAAAATGCAAATCTATTTAGAACATCCAATGTGAAGTTAGTTTTGTATTTTTTTTTAAATTGAAGTGGGGAGGGGAGGGGAGGGAAAGGAAAGGAAAGGATCCCACTTGGAAGAACACTGAAAGCTCTCTGGTTGGTAGTGTTAAGCAGATGTCAGAAGCCAACTTAGACGTTATGATTAATTGACAGAAAATTGTGAGTATAGTTGTTATAGCTATTCTGGCTGCACATTTGGGAAACAGGAATCTCAGCAGCCCTGGATGGGACTAAGGTGGCAAAGGCTGGTGTAAGTAAGGGACCACATTTCATGGTTATTGGCAAGCATATAAATAAGACCGAGATCAAGAAAAGCAAATTGCAAAGCAGTTGCCCTTAATTACTAGCAAGGCTAATATTTCCTTTAAGCTGGTTCAGCACCCTCAACGTACCTGCTGCTTCTGCTTCAGCTAAAGATCCAGATGAGAGTAAAATATACAGGATCTTGGTGACCAACATCACTTACAGTATGGATACATTCTAATTTATGTACATATCCAGAAAAAGACACATTGTGGTTTCTAGAAGACACATTGTTGTGTGCTGCCCAGTTGTTTTCGGTGAAATGGGGGGAGAGGTGAAGGTTATATAAATTTGATTAATAAATAATAAATAAGCAGGAAAAGTTATTTCCTGTAAAAAATAAAGGACTGGCAGCTTTTTTTTTAACCCAACCCATGGGCAGTGAGGAAAAGCTCTGGAGATGCCAACTAAAGCCCCCATTCAATTGGGGACATAATTATTCAGCAAAAGATGTGTGCATGTTTTTTAATATATGGGGGGGGAGATCCAGTTGTCTTAAGATGAAAGAATGGTTCTTTCCTGCAGAAATGTGCTGTGAAGAAAGCTTTTGACAGGCTACCCCCTTGTGATGTTTCCACTCCTGCAGCTTTGTGCATGTTGCTATCGTCCTCAGAGAAAAGGAAAGATTTTTGTGTTCTCCTTCTTATTCTCAGTGGCTCATATAGATCTACAACAGAGTGTCTGCTTTGAACACTGAAGGGTACCCAATTCAATTCCAGGGGCTTCCAGGAAGAGCTGGGTGTGAGAGGGCTGTCAGTCTGCATTAGCAATACTGAACTAAATGCATTAAAGTTGCACCTTGCTCCAAACACTGCACATCTCAAGACAGTGCTAGAAATATTTACATTTCATCAATCTCTTTATTGTACCCCTCTGTTCGGCCACTATTAAAAACAGCCATCCTGTAAGTGGGATGAGCCTACAAACTAGTCGTAGCTGCTGGTAACAGAATAACAGAGTTGGAAGGGACCTTGGAGATCTTTTAGTCCAACACCCTGCTCAAGCAAGAGACCCTCTACTAGGGGTCTCCAATCCCCAGGCCCATTATTGGGCCTTGAGCAGTTTGGAATTGGGCCACAGAAGTGGTAGACGAGCATGTGTGCATCCCCAGTTGCATATGCAGCAGGCAAATGTGTGCTTGCACGCATGCCCGCCACTCATGCAGAACCATCTCCTCCCTCCCCCCCACCACCAGTCCACAAAACCATAAAGGTTGGGGAACTCTGGCCTATACGATTCCAGACAAGTGGCTGTCCAGTCTCTTCTTAAACATCTACAGTAATGGAGCACCCACAACTTCTGAAGGCAAAGGGGTCCACCAGTCAATTGATCAATGAAAGAAAATTTCTCCCTAGTTCTAGTTTGCTTCTCTCCTTGATTAGTTTCCATCCGTTGCTTCTTGTCCTGCCTTCAGCGCTTTGGAGAATAGCTTGACTCCTTCTTCTTTGGGGCAGCCCCTGAGATATTGGAACACTGCTATCATGTCCCCACTCGTCCTTCTTTTCATTAAGCTAGACATACCCAATTCCTGCAAATATTCTTCATATTTTTTTAGCCTCCAGTCCTCTAATCATCTTTGTTGCTCTTCTCTGCACTCTTTCTGGAACAGTGATGGCGAACCTTTTAGAAACTGAGTGCCCAAACTGCAACCTCAAACCCACTTATGCATTGTTGAGAGACTCATTGATTGAACTTTTTTTTTTTTTTTTGCACACAGTGGCGGAGGCCTAAAGCAAAAAGGTTTTATAAAGCCCAGCTGAAGGCCTAGGATTGGGACAAGAGCATGCGTGCCACAGAGAGAGCTCTGAGTGCCGCCTCTGGCACCCGTGCCATAGGTTCGCCACCACTGTTATAGAATCTCAACATCGTTGTATCGTGATGACCAAAACTAAATGCGGTATTCCAAGTGTCAAGACTTTATAAAATGGTATTAACACTTCATGTGATATTGCTTTTATCCTTCTATTAATAGATCCTAGGACTAGGTGGGTCGAGGAAACTCACAATATCATTAGCTGTGGAAAGCCAGATTTAGGTGAATGCTAGACAACGTATGACCTGTAGTGTCATTATTTCAGAAGTATTTCCCTACCAATGCCTTCAAAAATGGCAGAGCTTTTAATTTACAGCCTTCGCTGGAAAAGAGAGAGATGTATTTGCCTTGAAAACAGTCCACCTTGAGCTGTGTAGCACAGTAAAACATCAACAGTTGATCACAGGAAATGTTTTATGACATGTTTTATATTATGTCGTAAAATGTTTTATGATAATTTTTATCAAGTGTTTCATAAAATTTGCCAAATTTCAATTCCATGAGAACCACAGGTTCTGGATTTTGGATACATTTGATAAGTTATTCCGTTTGAGGTACCTTGGCTGAAAAATGTCTGCCCTATGATGCACCATTTCACCAAGGGACAAACGTGAGAGCTTTAGTATAATATAGATGGAACTGGATGGTGTTGGAGAATCCTGGTTCAGTCTTGTGGGAATCTACCATCTCAGCTTGTCATGGCAATCTAGTTTACTTGGACATTGCTTGTCATACCAAAGATAGTTAATTTTTTTCCTAATTTGGGCTTTGTAGTATATTGTACGAAACTAATCCACCAATTCTGCCCTCTTCTACTGCTACAATTTTAATTTGCTCTTTGTTAAATATTACAACTGCATCTCCTTTAAAAAGCTTGCAGTTGCAACCAAATACATATATATGCACAAACACACCCCAAAATTGCACAAAGTTGTAGTGGCAAAACTTTCTGAAACCTTCATGCCATAATAATCAATGTGTGTATCATAAAATTTAAAATTTGATAAATACATAGATACATAAATAAAATGGTGGCTGCATTAGCTCTTTCTATACACAACCAATAGTATACTCTCTGATGTATTTCTGGTCAAAATAAAAGTTGAGCCCCAGGCTTGGATACTTCACGATTCTGAAAATAACCTGACACTGAGCACTTTCCTCCTTCTATCCCTCACCTTATAAACACATCACATAAGACACTCTGAAAGATGTGTACCTACACAAGTGAAACTTCATGCTTCTTATATCTTGATTCCAAACATGAAAACAAAGGGAAGGAAAATCTGGGTGTGCCCAAATCCAATAGACATAGTTATCTCTGCACAATGGGTTTAATCAGGTTCAATTACGATCACAGCAGCTCTATTCATGCTATATGGGCGACCTTGGCTAATACTTTATGGCTTAGGATGCTGTGGGAACCAAGGCTACTGCTTAGTTTATGGTCCAGTGTAGTGTGCAAATCCAGAAAATGGTTGACTTCAGTAACTAGATTGCATTGCCTGAATAAATTTGTAGGGTCAATAAAGAAACCCAAAAGATAGATAACAGATCCATGACGTTATGCACCCAACGCTTACACTTTGTTAGATGATGTTTTTCTACAATACTGACTTCCTTCCTATTTAATTCCTATTTCCCTCACCCAGTTTGCTCCTATCGGTTGGAAAGATTCTACTATCTAAATTGCAAAACTTGGAAACATTTCTTTCATGTTTAGGTTTAATGCAGTGATGGCCCTTTTTTATTATCAGCTACAAACCATTGTGGGCACCCATTGGATGTTGCTCATTAATTCACTGGTGAGCAAACGATCCCATCAGTACCTGCAACTCCTATTCATTATGGTTTGTCACATAGTCAGCCAGATGTTTAGACTGGATTTGGCATTTTTGTCTAGAGTCCTTCCCAAGTATCTTGAGATAGACAGATGTTGTTTAATGGTATTAAAGGTATCAACACAGAATGTAAACCGTTCCAGGTAAAACTGCTTTTTGCAATGGATTGACGATTGTGGTTTTTGTCAATGCTGATGGTGTTCATGTGGTGCTCCAGATGTTGTTATTATTGACATCTACAGAGGGTTGATTAAAAGTTCATCTTTGCAAAAGGCAATAGTTTTTGGATGACAGAGTAGATAAGACTTCTATTTGTGCATTCATGTATACTAAACACTGTCCAGAACTTTGTGCCACAACTCATCATCCTCATTGCTACATGTTACACTATTTCAAAACTGCTGTGGCAAAGCAAGATTCCATAACTGTCAATGGGAAAAATGCAGACTTATTCACGTATCCACTTATGCCATGTGAAAATGGCCCTTAGAAAAGCAAGAGAGATTCTTAAAAGTAGATAGGTTAGAATACAGAATAACAGAGTTGAAAGGGACCTTAGAGGTCTTCTAGTCCAACCCCCTGCTCAAGCAAAACATCCTATACCATTCCAGACAAATGGCTGTCCAATCTCTTCTTGAAAACCTCTAATGATGGAGCAGCGACAACTTCTAAAGAAAGCCATTCCAGTGATTTATTGGTCTAACTGTCAGGAAATTTCTCCTTAGTTCTAGATAGGATCTTTCTCTGAAATGTTTCCATCTGTTATTTATTTGTCATTCCAGTTGAGAAAGAAACCAATTACTATTCTTAGGACCCAGCAAGGTACCTTGCCTGCTACTTTTGCCGAACAGGCTCAAAGAGCATGAAGGACACCCAACCTTATGCTCAAGAGATCTGCCAATACATGAACAGTAAAGCATGGATATATAGAGCTGGAGGTAGGGCATTCACAGCCATGACAAAACGGTGAACATTCTCAAGCAAAGGCAGACCAAATGGGTGTGCCAATGCCAGGTGGGGAAATGAATCCATGGAGACATGTAGCAATATGCATACAAGAGAAAAAAAAATCTGGAGCTTCTTTTGATCGCAGCCAAAATCCTAAGAAAGAGTCCTACGAAGCTGCAAGAAGTCTCTTTTTTAATCTTGCACCATTTTCCCTATGGATGCTTGTTGTGAGGCCAGATGCAAGAGAAAATACGTCAGCCTATCTGAGCAGCTCTTCAAAATGTAACATATTCTTGATTTTCCAGGTGGTGGTGCAAAGAAGAGAACTGGGGAGATGTGGAGATTTATAAAATTATGCATGGTGCAAAGAATGTTTCCTTCCTGTCTCATGATACTGGAACTCAGGGTCACCTAGTGTGGTTAATTGATAGCAGATGCAGAAAAAAGAGTAGTTTTTCTTACATGTAACTTAAAGGAGGCTACCACCAGAAACAGAGATGGTCCCTTGTTCACACAGCTTGTCAAGGGAGGCATGCTAAAAATTCCCACAAGGATATGTCTATCAGTGGCCTTTAATTTGGATTGCTCAGTGAAAAAACAAGGAGGAAGGTCTTTAGTCTTCATGATCTGTCTATGGGTTTCTTGGAGTCACCTGACCTGGCTTCAAAAACAAAATCATGGTCTGTATGAAAACGTCTTCTGATCCAGCAGAGGATCATCTTAATTTTTCACAAGGCAAATTTCTGAGACGTGGAGAGACAGACTTGCATTCCCACTGTAAAGTTGAGTGTTGCACATCATGCTTACCTCAAATTAACACATTCTACTCAACCCACCTAACTTACAAGGTCTATGACAATTCGCCACGGCCAACACGCCACAGGACAACTCGCTGCAGGACAAGAGTAACACTAATATCAAAGAAAAGGAGGAATAGAAGCATTAAAGAAAGGATGCAAAAGGAGGGACAAAATGAAATGTGAATGACAAAAATTAAAATGTGCAGGAGACAGGAAGAAGTCAGACAATGGAGGGAGTAGAGCAGGGGTCTTCAAACTTGGCCCTTTTATGACTTGTGGACTTCAACTCCCAGAATTCCTCAGCCAGGCACATGTGTGAATGGCTGAGGAATTCTGGGAGTTGAAGTCCACAAGTCATAAAAGGGCCAAGTTTGAAGACCCCTGCGCTAACTGAATGGGTTGGGAAGATATTCCAAACCATAAACTAGCTACACGAGCTCAGTCCATATCTGCACCCTACATAAAAAAGTGGGTGTCTGCTTTGGGGTTCAGCATGTGGTGACAACACAGCTTGGCTGATTCACCCTTTTGTGAAGCAGCCTCGTCTGTGGAGCATAAGCCTAGCAAAGGTGATTCTTAGCCAGTTCCCATCCCCAACACCAGGCTGAATTTTCCACATCGCCTTTGAACGGAGACACCACTGAGGCAAACTTTTGATTTTTCTTTTTTTAATTTCCACCCACCCACATGAACCGCTTTCTGGGCAGAGATGCAGAAGAAAAGCTGAGAGAGGAGAAGAAGCGGGTGCGGGCGGGAGAGA